TTTTAATAATAATTCCAAATTTTAACAGAATTATCTTCAGAACATGTAACGAATACTTATTTAATTTTAGCATGTGATATTGAATTGACTCTTTTATTATGGAATCCAGCAGCAAAGAATGGTTAAATAGGACTAATTTCAGTATCCATTTATGCTGTATTAAGAATACTATAATAGAGTTGATTTCCAAATAAACTAATAATAGAAATTAATTGATCTCCACTATTAGATATTTGAATAACTTTATGTTCACCTCTATTACTTTTCATATTAAAAGACATAGCACTTACTATATTATAATTTTTATCAAATTCATAAATACAAACAGCTCCTTTAGTACCTCCTAATATAAATCCTTTTTTTGTAGTTGATAAACATTAAAATTCTAATTATTATTAAGTCATAATTGTAGTATTTTAAGTTAATTTAGTTTAATTATTCATAACAATTTATCCAACTTTATCTTTAATAACATCTTCTAATGCTGAATTAATTCCCATTACATCATCATTATCTTCTGCATTAAAATCTTATACTGGTGCATCAATAAAATTTAAATTTTAAGGATCAATATCTATAGGTTTTTTAAAATGATCATTAATTAAAATAAGTATTTTATTTCCAGCAGCTAATAATACTAATAAAGCTTAATTAGCAGATAACATTACCCAACCATGATCTAGGAATTTATTTTCTTTTTCTATTTTTAAAGGAATAAGTGTTTCATGTGTTTCTTTAATTTATTTTTCTTAAAATTACATTTCCCATAATCTTAAATAATTATGACCAGATAATAAAATATGTTTATGTTTCAAAGGATGAAAACTAAATTTATCAAAAGGTGCTTTAACAAATGCTGATGCTAATAATCTTTCTTTTTCATAATTCCAAATTTATATTTAATTTTATATTTGTAATCCACAATATTATTTTTCTACATTTAATTAAATCAAAGTAATAGCACCTTTAGATTATAATGAGATAGTTCTAATTTTATCTTTTATAATAATAACTAAGTTAGATGATTATTCTAAATTTTCTCCTACTGCTATCATCAAACCATCTTTTCTATTTGCAGCAGCTATTGCAGTCACATTTTTATATCTTCCAGGTATAAATTATTATTATCCTGTCTCAACATTCTAAACTATTATCATATTAGATGCATAAAACACAATTAAATCTATTTATTAATATAACTTCCATTACTTCCTT